AAAAGAGAATATTTTGAAAAACAATAAATGACAAATTATTGTTTTTTTATTATTATTTTTATTATTAGGCTCAAAATATAAATAGTGACCCTCGTATGCGATATATCGTTGACTGTAACTTTCTTGTAACAGTGCCAGTGTGACGATGCGTATCGCATCATATTTAGTGTGCGTTCAAGAAGCTCACTACCAGTGCTATGTAGCGCTACCGCTGTTCAGGGAGCCAACTGATAGCACTATGAAACACTATTGTCACGCTATTGTTGGTAGCGTTTGACGTCATGACTCGTGCTACTAATGCTATCGCCAAAGAAGCAGTGTGTTGATAGCGTAGCGTTCGTGTGCTCCATGAACAGCAATAGTGTAGTGAATACTAAAGTGAACATTGTTGGTGGCTGATACTTCGAAATGAATGAGCGCAATAGTATTCATTATACTTAGCTTTTAAAATGGATTACATGAAAATGGAATTGCGTGATGAAGAGTTACAAGAAAGTTATATGTTAAGATTGAATCCAACGGGTGTCATTAAAGCAAAAAAGGTAATTATTCAGTTTAGTTACCGCACCTCAAAAATTAATAAAATTAGGCTTATTCGACTCGTTTTTGCATGAAACGAAAGAATCTGGTAAAAAAATGTCGCTCTACCCTGTGAGTCGAGATATTAAGCGTTAAAGTTGACGACTATTGAGGTTAGGAAATCTGTCACTGTCGCGAAATACTGCGATGCAAGCACGTATTACGGTTACTTTTTTCATGCTCTGTGACAATTCGCTAATTTAAAAACAATTTACTGTTTTAAAAATAACAATTCACTACTTTAAAAACAATTCATTGCTGTAAAAACAATTTACTGCTTTAAAAACAATTCATTGTTTTAAAAACAACAATTCACTGCTTTAAAAACAATTCACTGCTTTAAAAACAACAATTCACTGCTTTACTACATGGGCTGAAAAGTCCCGGGATTTTTCAATAGGTGGCACCACTAGAAAATGAACCTGACTCATTTCGAGAGGCTCATCTGTCACTAGTTTATGTATGAAGTTTCATGACATTTCGTCCATTCGTTTACAAGCTACAGTCGTTTCAGTGACGCTACTTTCGCCTTCGTAAAAAAATGGAAAAACAGGAATATCGCATCTTGATCAAACATTGCTTTTTAATGGGAAAAACTTCTGAACAATCATTGCAATGGTTGCAGAAATGTTATCCTACATCTGTTCCTTCGAGAACAACAGTTTATCGGTGATTTAGTGAATTTAAAATGAGTCGTACAAGCACCGAAGACTCACCTCGCTTTGGAAGGCCAAAAGAGGCTACGAATGCGGAAATCGTAAAGCAAGTGCATCGAATCGTTTTGAGTGATCGTAAAGTGAAGTTGCGCGAGTTAGATGCCGTGGGCATCTCAAAAGAACGGGCGTGATACATTTTGCACGATCTTTTGGAGATGAGAAAGCTATCGGCGCGATGGGTGCCGCGTTTGCTGACCGTCGACCAAAACAGCAGCGCGTTGATGATTCAACGGTCGGTTTGGCGTTGGTGCAACGTAATCGAGCTGACTTTTTTCGACGTTTTGTGACGATGGATGAAACGTGGGTCCATTACCATACGCCTGAGTCCAATAGGCAGTCTGCAGAGTAGCTGGAAAGCCACGAAAGCCGACCAAAGCGGCCAAAAGACCAACGCTCGGCCGGGAAGGTTATGGCCTCCGTTTTTTGGGATGCGC